GGGGGGGGGGGGGGGGGGGGGCACGGTGGTGTCCATTTGTGAACGATTGTGCGCGCATGTGTCGATATTTTCTTTCGTATCTGCTCGTCCCGTTGTTTTTTCACCCGTGGACAGCCATACGTGTGTACCCTACCATGCTCCCCGAACTGGCGTTGTTTGCTTCTTGTCGTTCGTAGAATGGTTTCTCTCTTTGGCACTCCTCTTTCCCTGTATTTTTCCTCCTCTCACTATACAATATATTTCATATCGTTCTTCTTCCTCTTCCTCCCTTTCGTTTTCTCACCTCCTTCTCACTTACGAACCCTCAAGTTACCCTTCGCTACACTGACACTGACACTGCCTGCTGTTTTTCTCAGCCCACACCTTGAGGAGAGTCCACGATGGGTTCTCCCATGACGTTGAAGCTCGTGTTGAGGACCATCGGTACCCCCGTCATCTTGAAGAAGGCCGTGATCAGCCTGGGCGATGGTCGACAAAATAAACAACAGATTTGACAGAGAGATTGAGTCAATCGCCGGCGGTGATGGCGATGTAGCTGGAGGAAAGGGCGGGGGAGCACGGAGTACAAGTAGGAACGGCAGGGAAAGTGGCGGGCCAAACAGCGACGAGGCTTCCATCGACAGCACAGCGATCAAGCTATGTACTAGACGAACATGACATCGGCCAAAAACACTACGTGCGAAAAACACGAAAAGAGAAAACAAGCCATATTCCAAAACCTAAATCAAAACTGCTGTAAGAAGAGCATATGACAGCATGACCAAAAAACGTACAACGTTCATGAATCATGTTGTACCACACACAAAGCGTACACCCCCCTTCACCACCTTATTCCGGACAACCTCAGCCCATTCCGTACACCTTCATCGCAACCGCGAAAAACATACCGTCCCACCCTACATCTCATCTCGCCTGTGGAATAGCGGGGACGATTCCTCTGATACCGTCTGCAGCCGGGACGACCCGTCAACGTGGCACACGGCCGGAACCCTCTCCGCCACGCCGGGCTTGGCAGGGGCCGTGAGCGACATGTAGGGGGACCCTGGCGCGTTGCGATTTTGCGCTATTCATATTGCAGTAGGAAGGAATGGCTCGTTGGCACACAAGGAACGGCGGCGACTTTTCAAGAAAGAAGCCTGGAACAACCAGAACAGAGGACGAATCCTGGACTCTACCGTCTATCCGAGACGTGGACGAGCCTCGTGCGTGACAACAGAGGGATAGTCGTGGACGTACTGTAGCGCGGTCCTTGGGGGTGGAATCTTAGTGACACCTCGTCCCGTAGACACAACCAACAGCATCATATATGCGAACAAAAAGGTCTCCCAAAAACAGACGAGCTGATGGGAATCGTGAGGGTGCCGGTGATCGCCCCTGCCTACCACGCAAATTTAGAAAGTGCTCTGGGGTACGGCAACCAACCATAGCAGCGCAGAAGAACATCTCCCGCTATCGAAAAAGTGGACAAGACGTACGCATGCAGACGTTTCTCGTAATTAAAAACGACGGCCGCGCACAACATTCCTATCTTGCCCCCTTGGGTGATCAACGATCTATATACAGTCCTGAACGATCTATCTTTCTTCCTACCGTCTGGAGGCAGGCCCTCGAACCAGTCCTCGGCCTCCTCGGCGAGCACCGAAGGCGCGAACGGTCGGAAATCTTCCCTGGGAAACGGTTGGCGGTGTCGCCGTTGATGATTTTTGTTGGCGATGCCCACTTCGAGTGCCGTGCCAGGAGCACGCGCACGTGCCCGGGGGGGGGGGGGGGGGGGGGGGGGGGGGGGGGGGTTGGGAGCGACATGCCACTTCACACGGGCAAATTGATCATTACAGGGTAAGGGCGGGGGGCCCCAACAACTACACTACTCCGCGATATTTCCCACCTGTTTGTGACGTTCACGCACCTCTTTTTGGACATTCACATACATACCTCTGTTTGACGTTCACGCACAAAGTCTCGTAACCGTTCACGCATTCACGCACCTCCTTTTGACGTCCGCGTTTATTCTCGCCGGCATCTCGGGGTCCCGTGGGTCCGCCAGCAGAGATCGAGACCCGAGAGCTCGGGGGCCGAACTCTCCCCTTCCCTGGAACCACGCCACAACCTTCCCGTCTGCGATTGCCTTGGCGACCTCCTGCAAACCCGCACGCGATTGTATGTGTAGGGAAAGGTGAGAGAGATAGGAACCCCGATCCATCCGTGTTGGGGGGTGGGGGGAGACCCAAAAAGCGATGCCGGCTCAGACACTGTCATGATCACGCCACACGGAACGACAACAAATTATCCACGCAGCCCCAACTGAAAAAAATCCCAACCAATAACACCCGCGCGGTGCGTTGCTTACCTCCACGCCGTTAATCTGACGGACGTCCACCCAGCGCTCCCACTCCGCTATCTCATCCTCCACGTCGTCCTCGGTCCAGCCCCTCCCCCAGTACGGAGTGCGCAGCTCCCCGGACCCTAGCGGCCCCGCCACCGCCTTCGGGAGGCCCTCCAAGCCACCGCCGCCGCCGCCGCTCTCCATCGCTGCATCTGTCAGATTTTCTTCCTCGGAGTCAGCGGTAGGGTCGCCGTTCTTGTTGTCGGTGGGGGGTAGGGTGGCGTCTCCGCCTGATGGGAGAAGCAGCCGGCGCTGGTGCCAGCCGAAGGACGCGCAGCCGACCGCAACCCCTTCGTCGCCCGGGCACGGAGGTACAAAAACACGCCGGAAGCCGGCCTTCCGGGACGGTTGTGGTGGTCATGGTGCCGGTGGCGGCGAGTGTAGCGGGCAGCGGCAGCGGCAACAGTACCAGAAATGTAGCCGTGAGAGTCGAAAAGCAACGGACAGATCAACGCCAATAACCACAACAACACCAACAACCGCAATCACAACAACAGAATATCACGGTAAGCAAGCACATATTTGACCATGCACAAGCACACACACGAACGAACACGTCAACACTCTCCTGCCTCAACCCATACACACGCGCACACGAACAAACACGTCCACCTACCTCTCGAGCGATCTTCCCATTGAGCACGCTGTTCAAGGCCACGCCCCCGCACAGGCACACGTTCTCCTCGCCGGTCCTGTCCCTCAGCCCCTTGACAAACTCTAGGGCCGCCTCCTCCAGGCCCTCCTGAGCCCTGGACGCCAGGGCCGCGTAGAACGACCCCAGCCCCTGCAGGCCATCCTCGTCGCCGCTCCCGCCGTCCCCTTCGTCCTGGCCGCCGCCCTCCTGTCCGAGCCCGTTGGGGTGGGGCAGGCTCTCGATGGCCTCCCAGTCAACGTAGAAGGCGTCCTCGCCGGTGCCGCCGCTGCTCTTTCCACCCAGCAGGAGAGAACCAGAGGTCAGCCGGGGAGGCGGAGGGAGCTCGCCAGCGGCGGGTGGGGGCGACTTTGAGGCGTACGGCGCGAGGCCCATAACCTTTCCTGAACGGTTTGTCGGTCGAATGAAATTCAAGAGCTGGGTTTGAGAGAGAGAGAGAGAAAACAAGACCGAAACAGCGTCCTGGGTTGTTTCTAACGCGGTTGGAGGTGTAACCAAGAGGGGCGAGATTCGCAATGGCGGTAACAGGGCGCTCCATACTGATCTGCGGGGGCGCTGGACGGTTTTCGGTAGCGGGATAGGGTCACGATGCCTCAGGCAGGGCACCACACTCTTTTCTTTCTCGCTCTCTTAAAGCAGACAACAGGGTCCTTGGGTCGACCAATCTCTCTGCGTTTCTGACAATGGGCGACCCGCCTCAAAACACGGGAGAAGAATCAACAGCAGGCAACGATTTTCACACCCCTACAACATACACCCCCTTTTCTCTCAGATCTGCCTCTCTCACCGCAAGCATTCCAGTCGCCGAATATGTGGCTGCTGACCCGGCTGTACACCGCCCCCATCGACTCCATGTTCTCGAAGCCGTGGTTGAACAGCTCGGGCGGGGAGCGCTCCCTTATCCACCTCTTGTAGATGGGGACGAGGGTGGGTCCCCCGTCTGAAGAGCACCCCAACGACACGCAAGGGGTAAGGGGACGAACGCACGGGAAACCAATAAAGAAGAGGTTTCCATGCGTATCACAGATAGATGTACCAGTGATAGTTCTTCGACGGGTCTCTAACGAATAGGGCCAGAGGCGCCCGCGCGCGCGTTCGGGCTACCGTAGGTTGCATACGTAAGATACCACACCCCATGGACCGATTTTCAAAGCTCGATTCATCTACAACGAAGAGGATGCCAACATCAAGCGTTACGATTTTGGAAAGCTCTCGACGGTAAGATCCCAACACCACCATTCTTCAGCACAGTCAAGCTTTGTGCCGCAGAGTAAGCGGGTTTGAAAATAGGTCCAGGGGATATGATATCTTAAGGCAAATACGGCAGCAGGTCGGCTTTGGCCGCCCTAAGAGTGAGGGCGCGGCAGCTACATACATATAGCCGCGCCGCGACTTTACACTGGCCCTTGCACTCGAGAAGCGTCATCAGTCGATCCCAACCGCTTCTGCGCTATTGCGACCGTGCGGGTCCCGGTTCTGCCGTCAACCACCTTCACGAATCCCCGTGTGAACGTGCATCTTCCACTCGTCCAAAAAGATAGCCTTTCTCCATTTCTCCATTTCTCCATTTCTCCATTTCTCTCTCTCTCTCTCTCTCTCTCTCTCTCTCTCTCTCTCTCTCTCT